CAGGAAGCCAGAGGGAGGAAAGCGGAAAGGAGGGGTCCACGGAGACACCCACCTCCCTCAGGCTGACTTCCCAACACAGTCTGGAAGGTTCTCTCTGAACCCTGGCCGACTGCAACATTCACAGGGAAGCTGGGAAGCGCCTGGATCAAGCCCACTAGCAGACGGGGTTCCCACTACCTACAGGGGTTCCCACTACCTACACGTTGGGAGGGGAGGTGCAGGGGGCTCCCCACCTTGTTCTCTCAACACAACACAACACAACCGCCTGCAAGCTGCTTTGCTTGAAGTTCCCAGTCAGTCACCAGTGCTTCTCTAACACAAGGAGGCTGAATGAAAATAATCTAGACCTCCACGTGGCAAAGACACAAACCTGCAGTAGTCGCCAGCAACAGAGAACTCTGCATTTCAACAGACATTTCAGCACGCAACTCCACGAAGAAAAACAAAAGCCTATAAAAAAGGCCATTTTGGCAATGAATGGAGAGCGTCCTCAAAGCATCCCTGCCCTTGACCCAGGAATTCCACGCTAGGAATTTATCCTAAGGAAATAAAAACATCTGCTGAAAGATTTACATACTCGGTCTGTTTGTGTTGGGATTATTTATAATTTTGAGACAAAAATAAGTCAGCATCCACCACAGGGGGAGAGCTAGAGGGTGAAAAGCCAGAAGGACGCTCAAGTGCAGAGAATGAAGGGGTGTTCAGACGCGGGGCGCTCAATGCTGAGGGACGCAGCGACTCGGGGCGGGACGTGGCACACTAAGAGGTGCCCAAGACGAAAGCATCAGCCAAGATGTCGGCAGGGGCACCTCTGGGTGCTGAGGCCCAGATGCCTTTCTCCCAATCTAAGTCAGAAACCATTTCTGTCATCAGAAACGTGACTTCTCCCCGACCCGGCAGAATGGAGCCCAAATCGACCTCCCGCCCACAGTCCTCCTCCTCCCCGGCTCAGGTCCCAAGTGCCCAAGTCCAGCCTGTGCCCAGCACCGGCGCGGCAGAGGCTCGTCAGGACACCGACACCCGAGCTCCTGGCATGGAGGCACTTTCACGAGAAACACTTTCACGGGAAACATTACTCAAAAGGGGAAAGTGGGGAAGCCTTTCTTCCCTGCAGATGAATGCAACGTAGGAGTCCGAAAGGGAACTCCGCAGGGCTTCCCTGGTGGCGCAGGGGGTAAGTCTCAGCACTATGAAGCCACCCGCCACCCCCCCTCCAGGGAGTGACCCACAGGGCCCAGCAGACCTCTCCTGTCTCCCCGCTGCGCCCCTCAGCAGTGTATCTCAGTAGATCCACTGTTCTGCGCCCCACTCTGTCTCTGATGGATCCTCTCAACCCTGCATCCCACATGAACTCCTGTAGTAGAAGAGACCCCCTGAGCCAACCACCCCACCACGGAGCCCACTTCAAGACCTGCAGGCCCCACGAAGGAGCACTAATCCCACCAGCAACTCTAAAGTGTGTTTCTTCCCATTCTTACTTTTCACAAAAGCCTCTCATGTTTCAAACTGAGTGGGTGCACTGCAGCTCCGGTCAGCCTCCCTCAGCAGACGTCCCCCTTGGGGGTGCTCATCCTGGAGCTGGTGCCCCAACCTGGGCCTCTGCTTCTGGGCCGGACACTCTCCCCGAGACCTGTCCACTATGTCGCCCCGCCCTCCGGCCACCTTCTCATGCCTGCACCCTCCTGGAGGGCTGCCAGGATGCTGCCTTCCTGTCGCCGGCAGATGACCGCTGTGGCTGATGGAGGTGGTGGGCGGGTCACCTGGTGAGGACGGAGCTCTGTACCTGGCTCAAGGGCCATTGCGGGACCTCAGGAGTCCTGCTCAGAAGGTTCCCAGTCGGGTTCACCTGGAGGCTGGTGGCGCCCAGACCGCCCGCCACCAGCAGATTCTAACCTGTTCTCTGGGTGCTGCCGCTGCTGCTGGTTGGGGGCAGCCACTCTGACACCACTGCTGGGGGCAGCCACTCTGACACCACTGCTCTAGGCCACGCCAGCTGGAAACATCTGAAAATGCAGATTCCAGAACAGCCCCAGCAGCCAAGCGGCTGGCTTCGGTAGGCGGTGTCAGACCCAACCTGGCCAGGTTTGTGCCCACTGTCTGCCCGCTGCCCCAGAAAAGCTCAAGGAGTCTTAAACTCCATGGGCTTCGGGGGGCAAAACCTGAGTTTCCGGTGAGTGAGCCTCTCCATTAAAGGAAGGTCCCTGTCCTTCCCAGCTGCCCCTGCCCCACGGGGGCACAGGACAGGGGGCCAGCCAGGGGGTCCAGCCAAACCCCGGACCTCGACGTGTCTATGGAAAGCCTCGGACAAGAGGGAGCCCGCTCACTGTGGGGGGGCGGTCACCCCCACCCCAGTAAGAAAGGCCAGCTGCCTCACTGCCCTGTCGCCCTTTTTTGGGAAAACCTTCTGAATGTTTCTTTACAATAACAATTATGCTTATGCCCTGTGTCAGGTGGAAGGTGCAAAGGCAGGATGTGCATTGTATGGGGCTCACAACAGAAGCAGTCACGCAGGCCTGGAAGGAAGCACTGAGCGGCACTGGGGGTTTCTTTCTTTTCTTGCTGCTTGTTTGTTTCCCAAGCTGTGTGTAAAGAGCACTTAATCCTGCCGAGGCGAGAACTGAGCTGGACTTGACAATACATCGGAAGGAAAAATACGCGGCCGAAGGTGGCCCACACCCACCCGAGTCGGCCCACAGCAGCGCTGCCAGCTCTCTCCACGTGAGCAGCTGGGGAACAGGGTCGGCCAGGGCCCTGGGGGCCCCGGGGTGGGGGGCTGGCAGGGCACATGGGCCCCACCCTCAAGAGCAGCAGAAACGAGGGGCACTCCCCGGCCACCGGGCCCCCGTGAGACGTCCCCGCTTCAGGAACGGTACTGAGCACCCCGAGAGCAGCAACCACCTCCAAACTGAGTCCCCAGGGGATGGTGAGCCCCTTCTGCCTGGCACAGACAGGAGCCATCAGGGCTGCGGGTCACCCCCGGCTCTCGGCCCGGGGGGCAGGTGCATGTGTGACGGCTGCAGCGGCCGGCCCCCGCGTGCTCCCCGCTTTCATGCAGAACGGCCGACGCTCAGTCCGGACCTCACCACCACCTCAGTCACCACCTCTCAGCCACCGCCGGCGTCAGCATCGCCCGCACGGGCACCGCATGGCCCTTGCCACCCCTGCCACTCGCCGGGGTTCGTGTTCTCGCCTCCCGGCTTGAGTCACCTGAATTTGGTGACAGACTTTCACCCAAGCCAGTGCGGAGGCCTCCTGACAGGCAGACGGCGCTCAATCTCCACCTCCAGCCCCTCCCTCCACATCTGGAAATCCAGTCATCACTCAGGTGAAACCTCCTCCAGGAAGGCTTCCTGCTCGCCCCCTGCAGACTGGACCGGCCTCTTATCCATCAGCACCGCCTGCTTCTCCTGGTACTGGGCGCGCGACTGAAAGCGCCTGCTGGTGAGCAGATTACCTGCCCACAGACAGGGCATGCGCCTGCTGCGCAGCCTCCAGCACCCCCCTACGCTCAGACCCCAGACCTCAGTGATGCCGCCTCCGGGGGCTGTCCCGAGGGAAGCCCTCGCCGAGACCCAGGAGCCTAAGGCGTGTCCAGCTGAGACAAGGAAACAAAGCCGCTTCAGCCCTTGCGGACCTCCCGCTGACCCCTGCCAATGGTCACTCACAGGCCAGGTCTTGTTCTTAGCATCCCAGAGGCCCTGCTTCAAGAGCTCACGACGAGCCCCCAACTGTCCATGCAGCCTACCGGGTGGGCACACAGGCAAAGCATCCGCCAACACTAAGCCACCTCAAGCAATCTGACCTCAACAGGGAGGATGGAAACCACCATCTCCGAAACCCGGCCAGGGATGAGTCCTCCTCTCCCACCTGCTCAAACTCTTGCTGAATCAGGACATCGAGCAGAGGCCGCAGCCCTGGGCAGAAGCTGGTCCTCCGTGCAGCCCTGCAGCAGAGCGCAGAGGCCCCCAGCAGCCTCCGGGGCACCCCCCGGCGGACCGCAGAACCTGCAACGGCTGCCCCGGCACGGCGGCCACCCCCAGGGCTTCCATCTGGCCACAGGAAGCGCGGGATGCTGGAGACCCCCAAACCTCAGGACACGATTAAATTGCAGCCCAGGGAGCAGAGGCAGAGTCTGGCCAAGGGCTCAGTGAAAGCCCAGCAGGAATGTAAGAGCAGGGGTCTCCCACCGTGTGCCCGGGGTCCTGGGAGCCCAGATTTGGGGGGAGAGGGGGAGGCAGAGCAGAGGACCCCAGGGCCTTCGCCCACCAAATGCATCAGTCACTAGGGCTTCACCAGGGCTCTCAGAAAATGCACGTTTTCACTGAGTTTCACTGCTAAGAAAAAGTTTGAAAACCAAGATTCCGAGGTGCACAGTTTGAGGTGCACAGCTTCAGATCATGAATACTGAGGGCTCTCCGCAGACCCCACCCCCCGACAAGGCTGGAACGGGGATTTTAACAGGCTTTCCCGGCAGGCCCAGGCCACACCACTCAGAAGGCCTGGGGGTCCTAGAAAAGCAGACACACCACCCTGGCCCCAGGCTCCCGCCTGCAAAGTGGGGCTGGGTGGTGATGTTCTCAGCCCACAGGCAGCCCTTCTGTGGTGCCTTCAGGTGAGCCCAGACACGTGGCTGCATGGAGGGCCGTCACCCCAAAGTGGGCAGTCACCCTGGGGTAGGCCATCCCCCCGAGCGTGGCTCTTTCTAGGAGCCCACCCAGCAGGGCCCCGTCAGAATGCAGGTTTGGGGTACCGAATGCAATTCAAGGCAGCACACGATGCATTGCTGCAGCCCAAGAAGCCATAAGATAAAGCAAAGCCTCCCAACACCTGACCATCCCCTTGACGCCCGCAAAGAAGACACAAGTGGGCACACGCCAGGCGCCGGCAGGCAGAGGCCCCGGCTGTCAAGGCCCCTCACTCTGGGCCCTTCCTGTGGGGAGCGCAACGAGGGGCACCTGGCAGGCGCAGGGCTGAGCTCCCCGGCCGAGGCCTGTGCTTACCTGGTAGTAGGTCTTGATGTTCCTCACCAGGATGGTCAGGTTCTGAATGCGCAGGGTCACGTCGTTGTTCACATGCTTGTTGATGCGCTGGTTTGTAGGCCTCGGGTCTCTAGGGCAGAAACAGGGCGGTGAAAATTACACCCCCCAGTGGGGAGTGGGATCAGAAACAGTGGGGGAGGGAAATGCACTGGACGATGGTGATGGCACACGGGTGATTTGGTGATGGGCAGCCCAAGGGGATTGCATCTGAGAGGGATAAATGCACAAAATGATGTAAAAATAAACTATCATAAAATTTAAAAAGAATTGGAAAAACATGGAAGCAGCCCAAATGCCCAAAAGTAGATG